GAAGCAGGCTCCCTGCTGAGCAGGGAGCCCAATTTGGGGCTTGATCCCAGGACTCTGGGATCATGACCTGAGCTGAAGGCAGACAGACGTTTAATCGACTGAGCCACCCAGGCTCCCCTTAACTTTTTTTTTTTAAATGTTTGATCTGTCTCACAATATTTTATTCACTTATACGAACTTACTCATACAAACTAATATGAAAACTCAGACAAAGGGGTTATAACATTGGGTCCAGAGTATTTGACTTCTCCTCTTGCATCCTGCCACTAGTTAGAAATAAGTAGCTGTATAGCATGTACTAGGTATAGTTATTGGACTAGTAACTGTAGGTGGCGCAAAAAAAAAAAAAAAAAAATCTTTGTCTTAAAAGTAGTTCTGTAGGTGGGAAGACAAAGGAGAAGAAATGTGTAAGAAAAAAATGGAAAAGAAAATCTCTCCAGTGTATAAAATGGTAACAACCACTATTTACTGAGCTTACCGTGGGTAAGGCACTGTGCTTAGCCCTTGACGTATACCATGTATCTCATTCACAACAGCTCCATTTTACAGCTGAGGAAACCAAGGGCAGGGAACTTCAGTAACTTGAAATTGGTACTGAAACCCCCATCTGATATCAAAATCATGCTCTGGCTGCGTAGTGTTGCTTGCTTGATAGAGAGTAAGGGATGGGATACTTATTTTGCTTTACTTTTTAAAAAAATCAGCTGCTTACTATTTTATTTTTTCCAGCTTTAGTGAGATAAAATTGGCATATAACACTGTGTAAATTTTAGGTGTACATCTTGTTGATTTGATATATTTATATATTGCAAAATGATTACTACCACAGTGTTTTCCTTAACACCTTCATCACATCTCATAATGACCATTTCTTTTTTGGTGGTGAGAACATTTAAGATCCTCCTCCTTAGCAACATTCCTTTACTTTTATATATTTCAGTTGCAAACCTCTTGAATCCCTCAGGATCTGGCACAATGCTGGGAGCATTGTAAGTATTCTAACTTCCCCAAGCAGGAACTGCAAACCAGGTCATCAGAATCTTGGCAACAGCAATATAAGCTTGAGGTACAAGACCTTTTCTAAAAGGAAGGACATAATATAATGGATTTCAGGTAGTTTCCTCATTTGCAAAGCCACAAAAGTCTTGGTGCCTCCCTAAATTGTTTCATGCCCCTGGGGTTTTCACCTCACCCTTGGTTTCAGTTGGCTTCCTATAACTTTAAGAGTCAACTCACTCTCTATCTCTTCTATAGAGGAAACTGACCTCCTGAGATAGAGGGGACCATTTGCTCCTTTGTGTTTTGCTAGTTCCTGTCTGTCACCTCTTCATAGCACACACTGTACTACATAAGTGGTGTGTGTGTGTGTGTGTGTGTGCACACGCATGTGCTTGTGCTTGTGTGAATTTATAGAAAGGTCTGGGAGGAGTTCCTTGCCATCTGGTGGGGGAGATAAATACGTAACGTAATAAACATATCATGGCAGTGCAGATTTACATGAGATGTCTAAGGCATCTCATGTGTGACATAATATTCATTGAGTGTGTTATAGACATTCAATAGTTTTTATATTAGGAGATGGTATAATTTAGTGTAGGGAAGGAAAAAGTTTTCCTGTATGTCCTTAGGGTCCCTAGCTGGGTCTGAAAATTAAACTGACAAAGAGATTAGCAGGAGAAAAGCATACAAATCTGTGTTTAATACGAGTTTTACATGACATGGGAACCTCCATAAGGAAATGAAGACCCAAGGAAACAGTTAGGCCTGGGTATTTGTATGCTAGTTTTAATGAAGACTGAACAGTCATGTAGAAATATGTTAAGATCAGAGAGTATGAGGCAATCATAGTGAACTGAGGGAAACTTAGCAAGTCCTGCTTCTTAGGATTCTTCTCAGTGTCCCCTTGTCTTCAGAGATAAGAATGCTCCCTTTCTCTAGGTATAGGGAAGGCAACTCTCCTGGTAGAGTTTCATGACCTGTTTCAGAGGAGAAGGGTGGTGGTAGGGGAAAAGGTCAGAATGATCTTGCTTCTACTGTTTTCTCAAATTCCTTCAGCTTAAAATATTCAATATGCCATATTTTGAAGTAGCATGTCCTGAACCCCGTCATTAGTGGAGCATCACTCCAATTGCCCTATTAGAAACTCTTTGAGGTATTAATAGCTGCTTTGTGAGAAAAAGAATTTAGTGGTCAAATTATTGACCTTGAATAAATTCGAGGTTGAATAAAATTAAACTTTTTCATGTGTGCTTTAATTTTTTCCCTGCAGTACCTTTCAGAATTCTTAATGTGCCGATGCGCATTATGAATCTCCAAAAGTGAATCCAGTATGCAACATTTTCCAATCATATTTGGCCATGGAATTCTTTCTTCTCTGGGCACTATAGAACACAGCATGGAGATACTTGATTTCATGGTTGAGAGTGAAATATGGTATCAGTGTCATCATATATTAATTGCTTGACTTTCATCACCTCTTTAAGCCTTAGTGTCCTCATCTGCACATGCAGGTAATTCCTGTATTTCATATTGTTGACACAATACAAAAAGGTTATAAAATGTCCAGGAGTCCTCTGTAGATGAACAATTACGATTGTTAATAATAATATGTCCAACAGCTGACTGCTCATTGTTAGAACCCTCATCACTTTGCAGAGTACTGGATCTGAAGACTGTTACACATGACCCAGCTTTAGCATGTAGGTGGCCAAAAAAGGCTTCCCTACTACCTGTATCTTTTGCTCTTTAACAGGATCTGAGTCAATATTAGATCAGTCCTCTTCTGGTTATGGTCCTACTACTTATCATCATCTTATGAAAAAAATAAGATAAAGAAGAAGTAAGGTTGAACTAGATAACCTCTAGAGTTCATGGTTTCTAAAATTCTAAGGTGGAACAGAAGTAATTCTCAAGCTGCAACAGATGGAGTTACTGTACTTTCTAACTGGGCTGCTGAGAACAAAAGTCCTTGTCATGCACTACTTTATTTTTTTCACTTAGAAAAGCAACTTTATTCCCATCAGTATTCTTTTTTTTTTTTTTAAGATTTTATTTATTTATTTGAGAGAGAGAGAGAAAGAGAGAGTGAGAGAGCACAGAGGGTGAGGGAGAAGCAGGCTCCCCACTGAGCAGGGAGCCTGATGCGGGGCTCAATTCCAGGACCCTGGGATCATGACCTGACCTGAAGGCAGATGCTTAACGACTGAGCCACACGGGCACCCCTCCCATCAGTATTCTTGATATAAATGAATTTGACTTTTGTTAACCTGTTATTTTAGACCAGTGTATCTGTATCGATTATTATATATAACTCATAGCACTATATCCTAGAATGTATGCCTGGAAATCATTTTGGTACATCTCCTCCTTGACCTGTATTTATGAGCAAGTGCAGCTGTGAGGTGGTTCTTCGTGTAGGATTAAGAAACACTGCAGTTCTTGAAATAAGCCAGATGTTTTTATTTTCAGAGGAAAAGATGACACGTAGTGTTTATTTACAACATCAAAAGATTATAAGAAAACTTTCAAGGGACATGGGTCATAGAAACCAAGTGAACACCACAGCTTTCCCAACTTCATAGCCTAGAAGATGTTGCAAAAGACAAAAACCGACCTTGTACTGGCTGTAAATATTTGTAGATTGGGGTTATAATGACCAATAAATTACAGTGAGAGTTACTATCTTGAAGAGAGACTTCCACTTTGACCTTATCTGGTTTCTTTTTTTTTTTTTTTAAGATTTTTATTTATTTATTTGACAAAGACACAGCGAGAGAGGGAACACAAGCAGGGGGAGTGGGAGAGGGAGAAGCAGGCCTCCCGCAGAGCAGGGCCTGATGCAGGGCTCCATCCCAGGATCCTGATCCCAGGACCCTGGGATCCTGACCTGAGTGGAAGGCAAACGCTTAACGACTGAGCCACCCAGGCGCCCCCTTATTTGGTTTCTATCCATTTTTTCAACAATATGTCCAGTAATATACACATAAAAAGAGTGGTTTTTAAAAAAACATGTCCTGAAATTAGTGCTTATGCAAACTTCAGGAATACTTTTTGGACAGACTCTCTCAAAACAAAAAACCACTTTTATTTTTTAATTTAAGTACAGTTGACTTACTATATCCTATTAGTTTCAGGTGTAGTCATAGTGATTTGATATTTTTATACCAGGAAATGACCCCCATGATAAGCCTAGTTACCATCTGTCACCATACAGAGTTATTACAATATTTACTATATTCCCTATGCTGTACATTTTATCTCTGTTACTAATTTATAACTGGAAGTTTGTACCTGTTTAATCCCCTTCACCTATTTTGCCCAAACCCCTCCAGGCTTTGTTACCCAACAGTTTATCTTCTTTTTTTTTTTTTTCAAGAAGAAATTGGCACTTTATTTTTTATTTTTTTAAATTTTATTATGTTAGTCACCATACAATACATCATTAGATTTTGATGTAGTGATCCACGATCCACTGTTTTCGTATAACACCCAGCGCTCCATGCAGTACGTGCCCTCCTTAATACCCATCACGGGGCTAACCAATCCCCCCTCCCCCCTCCCCTCTAAAACCCTGTTTGTTTCTCAGGTCCATAGTCTCTCATGGTTCATCTCTCCCTCCAATTCCCCCCACCTCATTTTCCCCTTCCTTCTCTTAATGTCCTCCATGTTATTCCTTATGTTGCAACAGTTTATCTTCTATATCAAAAGAACCGTGTTTTAAAAATCGAAACTGAAAATACTTGTAACTCGTTAGTAATTATTCATTGGAAACACCATATTTGGTATTCCAAACAGTGGTTAGTTTTAAAGAAAATCCCCATTTGAGCAGAGCTTTCTTTTCCTTCCCTTCCCTTCCTTTTTTCCCTCTTTCTTCTTTTTTTGTTTTAGGAACCCAGACGTTAATCGGAGTGACGGGCCCTCGGGAATCAGGCCGCGCCGGCCTCGGGGACCCGGCGGCCCGCCCAGCCCACGGGGCTCCTGGCCACTCCGGAGGGCGCTCGCTCGGCGCGCCGCCCAACCCGCTTTCCCGGAAGGGCGGGCGCGCTGGGCTCGCCGCGCTGCCTTCCACCGGCGAGGCGGGTGAGTGGACACCCTGCCGGGTTCCCTGGCTGCCATCCCTGCTCCTAGAGAAGCCCGGGTGGGGAGCGAGGCGCGCTCCGCGGGGCCGCCCACTGCAAGGCGGGCAGCGCCCCGCGGGGAGCTAGCGGGTCGCTATGGGACGCTGCCGCCGGGGTGGGGGTGGAGGCGGGGGAGAGGCGGGCTGCGTCAGTCGTCCCCCCCACCCCATCCCTCCGGCCCTCCTCCCCCCAGCCGCCAGCCGCCGCCTCTGACCTTGTCTTCTTAGAGTGGTTTGCTTAATTTCGGAAATTGAAAAGTGAAATGGTTTGTGTTTCCCCACTGTTTCCGTATCGTCTCCCAGGATAGTTCTTACGGAAACTTGATTCCTTAAGGAGATTTACTCTCCTTGGCAGGTCCAGGGTTTGGCAGCTGTGCTTCACTTTTCGGAATATGCAGGGATTTTCTCAAAAGAGACATCTAAAGGAGAACACGATGTTTTTCTGTCTGTAGAGCATGGATACTTTTTTTTTTTTGTAACTGTATATGTGTATCACCATTGTATTAATCACCCCCTCCTTTCTTTCAGCCCCTCGTTTCCTTTTTGGGCCAGGCATGCACATGGAAAGATTTCATTCCGTCAGACCTGGCACGAAGGGATATGAGTATAATAGGAAAATAGGTGACAGGTGGGTGGTGGTAATAACAATGACCACCGACTTAGTGGTTTAAAACCACAAAGTTAGGGAAGGCTGGGTGGCTCAGTCGGTTGGGCATCTGCCTTTGGCTGGGGTTGTGATGCTGGGGTCCTGGGAGCAAGTCCCATACTCGGCTCCTTGCTCAGCAGGGAGCCTGCTTCTCCCTCTGCCTGCCGCTCCCCCTGCTTGTGCTCTGTCTCTGATAAATAAATAAAATCTTAAAAACAACAACAACAACAAACCACAAATTTATTATCTTAACAGTCTGTAGGTTAGAAGTCCAACCTGGATCCCACTGGCCTAAAATCAACTTGTCTACAGGGTTGCCTTCCTTTCTGGAGGCTACTGGGGTGAATCTCTTTTCTGTTTGTTTGTTTGTTTGTTTTTTCCCCAGCTTCTGTGTGTTGCCCACCTTCCTCTGCTTAGTGCTGCCCTTTCTCCATCTAAAAAGGCAGCAACACTGCATCTCTCTGACTTTTTTATTCTGTTGTCACACCTCCCTCTGACTCTGCTCTTCTGCTTTCCTCTTTTACTTTTAAGGGCCCTTATGATTGAATTGGCCTTATGGATAATTCAGGATGATTTTCATATTAAAGTCAGCTTTAATTCAATCTTAATTCAATCTACAACCTTAATTGTAATCTGACATATTCATAGATTCTGGGGATTAAGAGTGGGTATGTTTGAAAGGGTCATTATTTTGCCTACCATATAATGGCATAAAAGGTAGCCTATTACTGTACATCCCACTCATGCGAAGAAGGAAAGTATCCAGACCCTAAATATACCAAAAAAAAGTTCTGGGAGTATTATGTAGTAGACCATTTATATGAGATAAATATATTGAGAGTCTTCATTACAAGCTTTTAAGAATATTGATTTTTTTTTTAAAGAGTTTATTTATTTATTCATGAGAGACAGAGAGAGGGAGGCAGAGGGAGAAGCAGGCTCCCAAGGAGCAGGGAGCCCGATGTGGGACTCGATCCCAGGACCCTGGGATCATGACCT